TGTGTGACTACTTATTGGTTTCACAATAAAAGCCAAGGCGTAATTACCACATAGCTGTCATAGCTGGAGTCCAGCACAGAGCCACACTGGGAGCAGATGATGGGTTCTCCTTGTATGAGAGGCACTGGAAATATGCAAACATCATCATAAGCTAATGAGACTGAAAGCAGTAGATGTAGTAGACGTACATGGCTGATAATGAAGCTTTTATGGTCATAATAAGGATTTGCTGACCTCTTTCCTCTGACAGCAATTTCCCTAAACTGACAAGGACCACATTAGGATTCCCTGGAAGAAGCTCCTTATCTGCTGAGTTGGGAATAACATGAGTGTTCAAAATAAGCACTATGTGTTGTACCGATCTTTTCACAGTTTAACTGTTGTGTTTGTCTTTACCAGTAGACGTTTGGGAAAGTGAGGAGGCCGAAGGTGTTTTCTGAGAGAATGAAGGAGATGTGTGCGACGAGGGTAACACCAGCACATACTCTGGAACTAGCTTCATGAATAAAGGTCTAGGCGGGAGGGCTGGGGTTTGAGAAAACAGCAGAAGAGACATAGGACAGTCTGTTTTCTTGTTAAAGTATCTGCTTCAAATGTAGCTTCAAATTACAGCTGAATACAATGAAGAAAGGTGTTTGTTTACCTGGTGTCTGACCCGATACATTGCTAGTAACGGTTGGCGGCCTCACCTCATTCCCACCGCCTTCTGGTATACTGTATGAGTATTTTGGGTCACAGGGATGGGCATTTACATCTGGCTCGGGTTTTGCCAGGTCATAGGTGAGTGTCTCGCTGTTGTTGAGTGTTTGGTTGTAAAGAGAGGGCTGGCTGTTCGCTGCAGGCCTCATGTGCGGTGGAAGCAGAGCTGCATAAAGCAGATGAAGTCAAAGAAATAAATCATCCCAAAATTTTAATTTGCCATTCATATTTTTTTTGCTGCAGGTAAGTGAAACCACTTGGCCTTATTAAATTTTGACAAAGAGACCACTGGTATTGAACATTTACAAAGTATCAGAATCAACATCAGGAGAGAAAAGGTTCAAATGGTGTATTTCTATCTTCTAGTGGTTTCTAACAGCACAAATAGTTTTGGTCTAATATGTTCAGATCATGTGACAGGCCCTTTCTGTCTCTGTTCTGATAACCAGATACCACTAGTGATCATGAGAAAATACAGTATGTAGTTGTTTTTCTATTTTGGCTGAACTGACTCTTGAACAACCTCAATAAAGTTAATTAAAAAAATAATTCAAAGTCCACTTGCATAATTTGTTCCAGATGTTGTATAGTCAGACATGTCATTGAGCTTTTTTTTTTTTTTACTTCAGAATGGTCTGTGCTCCCTCTCTTGAAGGAGCTGTGGGGACACACCCTTTTTGTAATCATTTTATTGTAGCATAGGACAAGCTATGTTGAAAGAAAGATAAATATTGGGCTGCAAGGCTGATGCTGAAGTCCTTTCACAGAAACTTCAGCTGCACAAGCAAGTTGGAAGACATGTTCTTGCTTCTGAAAAATAGGATGGGAAGTTTGCTGTAGGCCA